AACGCCTGCAAAAAACTACGGAGAGAGAGGGGGGGGGGCGGGGTCGTGCGAGTGATAACGACAGTGTTTGTCCTGGAGGAGGGGATTGGGGGGGGGCTGATATTGTTGAGATTCGGACGCACCGGTTAAAGGTGCTGTGGGTCTCTCTCCGTACCCCCCACACCACCCCGTCGTGTGCCACTTGCCGGGCACGTGGACCAGTGGCCGTGGTCCAAATTGCGGCGTTCAACAACAACAACGACAACTATTTGACAAATGTGAAGAGAAAAGGAATATGTCCAAAAAAAAGTAGGCCACGTATCGCACATTCGCGGTCACAGCTCGGGATCTCTGCGTTTTAATGGGGGGGGGGAACTGCCCTTGAATAAGCCGTTTGGGCTCTTTTGCAGAAGCGACGTAATGAATCCCCACGGACTCCCAGCCGCTTCAATTAGAGGCGTTCTATTGAATCGCAATTGAGTTGTTTCATTTTTTTTTGTAGGCCGAGGTCGATGAACGTTATTCGGTTGTCCTCCCGATGTCCGCCGTCGCTGCGTCCTCGCCTGACGCCAAACCGAACCACCTCGACTCCCGGGTGCTCTTTCGACTCGGGCAGTCCTCTACCTGGACCTTCGGGCGGGGGTGGGGGGGGGGCACGACACGGTCGATGTTAAACAAACTTGAAACAAATGCTGCTGCCACGGTCTTTTATCCCGACGTGCGTTGTGGGTCGTGCCCTGTCAGACGTTTCGCTGCGCACGTTGGGGAGCTTCTAAAATTAGCGGACGATTGCGAGCGCCTAACCGTTTCGATTTCGGCTTGCCGAGGCTCGCGGCGCGTGGAGCGAAACGTCGGGCGTTCGTGCCAAACGACACGCGGCAGAGGAGCCCCTTTTTTAAAACGGACGTGGAGCGCGCGACGCAGATCTCAGTCGCGACGGCGTCTGCTCTCTGCGCTCTCGCTGATCCAGCGAACCTCGAAGGAAGGAAAAAAAACCCCATCACAACTGGTGTTAAATATTACACCAAAATACTTACAAGAATTTGTATGGGAGGGCTGAATCGTCAGTCGAGGGGTGGGAGGTGGAATAATCCCGAGGTGGGGGTGGGAGACAAGGAGGGGGAGGGGAAGGCGGCAGACAATCTCGCATTACCGCTGTAGGTGAGACGAGCCGATATTTCTCTCCTCTCGTAGCGATTTTAATTATTGTCGGGATGAAATTTCCTCGTGGTAGGCCGTGATAGAAGCGATTGCGGGTTGTTTGGGGAGTCTAAAAGTGTTGGGGGTGTTCTTTTTTTTATTGCTCGTCTCCCGGCACAATTCGTTTCAAAGCGTTTTGCCTGTAGCCACCGGAACAAAATGGAACAAAAAAGTTATTGCCAATGAAGAGGCGCGCGACTTCTCAGAGGTGTTCCCGTGGAGAGGGAAGCTTTTTTTCTACTTTTGTGTCGCTGTACCATTTGGGACTCGGTACTGAGAGAAGTACGTACGTTGTGAAAGAAATTGTACGGGTTAGGTTAAGGGAATAACTTTGGGTCACGCACCCTATGGTAACCGATGTTAAAGCGAACGAAATGAAGCCCGGGGGGCAACGTGCAGGGGGTGTAATGAGAACAGCTGAGGAGAGCGGTGAGAGACGAACACTGACATGGCGTAGTGACCGAGAGGAAGGGGGGGGGGGGGGGAGAGACGCCGAGGGAGACGGCTGCACAGAGTTCGGAGATCACTGCTGGACAGCAGCGCGGAGAAAAGGGGAAGGGATAACATTGGGGAGGACTGTGCCTCTAATGTGGGGACAGAAGTACGTATGTATATGTCGATTTAAAGCTTTCGTGACTGCAATGATTCATCTTCTTTGGTTCTTTCGGTAAAGTCAGCGCTGGAGTACACTCCAGCGCTGTCCTACCAGACAGTCTCGTCCCTTCACCTGATGAAGGCCGCTTGTGTTGTGGCCGAAACGTCGTGAGAATATTATTGTGTTATTTTAGTTTATCAATTTATTAGTTTATTCTCATTCTACGTGACTTTACCGAAAGAACCAAAGAATATGTATGTATATCATGAGGCCTCCTTTGCCAGTACTAAAATATAATAATCATAGGGTTTTCCCTTTTTTTTGCATTCTAACTGCAAGTATTGTGGTTGATGTAAACACGATTCCTTGCAAAAGTTTTCAGTTTTGTCGCCCGAAAAAAGGGGGAAAAACCTATTAGTATAGTATGTATGTATGCTGGACTTCTTTCACACCGCACGTAGCCAAACGTGCTAATCGAAGGTGCGGGCGAAGGACAACAAACTAAACACGCGCAAAAATCAGTTCTAAGAAATTAGTTTTTAACCGAGAAGTGAGACCTCTTTCCACCCGCGATTTTATTTGCGTTTTTTTTTGTTATTTAATCTGGGCAGTCGTACAATCGAACCCATACAAGCGGTAGGCTAACCGTGTACTAAAATAATCGGTGGCGTAATCAAGTACGTGAAATAAAACCGACGGCCCAGCGCAAAACTCTCCGCCGGCGTTTGCGCATTTCGGAGCGGGAGCCGGCGGCGATTGCCTCGTTTCAGCCGCTCGAGCGGCGACTCGACACGTGGGCAGGGGGACTCCCCGCGTGGTTAATGGGGCTACCTTGGAGTTGAGCGCTGCACTCTGGATCGGAGCGAGTGCTTCTCTTCCAGACGATGAAAAAAAAGTGAGAATTGGGAATTGAAATTGGGGGCGAGAGGGGGGTAGGGGAGTGGGGGGGGGGAGAGGTTGGAAGCGTGGCGCGCTACGTTCGCACGCCGCGCGTCTCAGGAGGAGCTGGCGGGCAGCGCCTCGCTGTCATCCGCCGTGGTGGAGCATTTCCCCCGACTCCGGGGGGGGGGGAGCTTTGTTCTGTCGCCGGGGTCCACAAAAGACGGCGAGTGGGGTTCATCGCGGGAGCGGTGGCAGTAATGGAATTCCTACTTTGACCTAAAATTCAACCGACACCACGCGAGCTGGCGCTGCGGAGGGCCGTTATGCATTGAAGACCCCGACCTACCGTGGATTAATTACCCGTGTCCGTCTCTCTCTCGCGCGCGTCTCTAGAATACGAGTTACACAATGCGATTTTGATTTACAAAAGTCTCCTTACGTGGCCGCATCTGAACGTGCTGTCGAAATAGGGGCCATGTGTGCATCAAAGACATGCGATGGAAATGCGTTGATTACTTGTTTTATTTTTGTGGGGGAGGAGGAGGCTGAGAATGGCTTGACGACGTAAGAGATCGGTGCCAGAAAGATGTGACACCGCTTGGGCACAGGACAGAGGAAAGTGGAAACAAATTACGAAATGTGCAGTGGACACCCACACGGGCCACCTGCCCATGGGTCGTGATGACGATGAAGGAGGCTTCTGCCCGGGTAAGGAAAAAGGTCAGAATGGTAAAGTTATGGGCCAAAGAAATTAATAGAGACAGGTAACTTGCATACCTTTCGAGAGTACAGGCGGTGCAACAGCACCAGAACCCGTGGGGCAGTGTGGCACGCACGCCGGACTATGTAGATCGTGGATATTGGACAGGAGGCCCCATTTCATTACTTGCGCCACGCTAGGCCACTGCAGAACAGCCACAGCTAGAGAGGAGGACGGTCTTGAGCCTCAACTGTCGCCGAGAGCCAGAGAAGAGACATCCCTGACAGCTCGGGGAAGCAACAGTTGATGACTGGTGACTGTCACATTGTTAGCGTGCACATTCCCACCCTGTGATTTTCCTGTGACTGTCGCCACTGACAGCGGACTTGGTCTGTGGTCGTCCTTGTAACATAAGCTGCTTGGCACAAAGGAGGACTCACCGACTGAGTCTTCAGCGAGTTGCGTTCCCAACTTTCATCATCATCATCAGCATCATCCTCGGTCGACGCACGACAACGCCTGAGACGCATGCGAGGACGCAAGGACACTCCACAGCACGGATGTGGTCAACGGAACATCGAGTAAACAACAATTATCCACGGTTAACTCAGTTCCCCGGAAGCATCTCTGAGGTTTGGTCGGCAAAATCCCAAAGCTCTTGATCGGATATCAAAACTTGTCGTCATTCCGTAAAATGTCGCTCTTCCTAGGTGGTGTGTGTGCTCGCCGTTGTGTTTGTAAACAGCTGTTTGTGTGTGTGTCTGTCGCTGGTTGTGTGCGTGCAAATGTAGCGTGATAATCTCTGCGTGTGTGTTTAGCTGTGCGTGTGCAGCTGTGTGGGCCTACAGTTGGTTAGGGCTGTATGAGTGTAGCGGTTAGCGTGCTATGCTACGAGCCGAGCCCGATTCCCGCTGCCGTCCAACACCTGTGACGATTATCTGAACTGGTCAAAGCCCCCCCCCCCTCCCCCTCTAGGTCGACTCAACCTCAAACGAGTACCTGGTGCGGTGTGTAAACATCGCCACGGGGGAGACAAAGGCGGCCACGACGTGGTGCTAGACACCCACCCGATGCCGTTCCGCCATTCATAGGTGCTCGCTAACACTTGCCCGAACTGTCTGTTAAAAGACTATACGGGAGAGGGAGGGGGGGTCGTCATCGTATGTCCATGTACCGGCGTATGCCCCCGTGTCTCTGTAACTCTGTGTGTCCTCCACGCGTCCTCCACGTGTCCTCGGCCGATATGGGCGCTCTCCATCGTAATTACCATCAGTCGACACATCCACGCATTGCTAAAGAATGCCACCAACAAACTATTTTAACTTATTAAACTTTATTTTTTTTCATTTCTATTTTAACAAAGTAATGCCCACTGAGATATAGCTCTTTTCTTTTCCATCAGCGAACCTGGCCACAAATGATAGCTCAACGAAGTGACTTATCGTCTGAAAATGTTTCGCAGCCAAATACTCTAAGCACGTGATGTTGATTCTAAATGTGGAGGGGGAAACTGGAGGACCCGGAGAAAAATCCACGCGACCACGGGGAGAGAGAGAGAGCACGCTCCAAATATACAGCAGGCATCAGGGTCGGTATCAACCCCACGACCTCCTGTATAACAGACGAGGTAGTTAACATCTCCTAGCCACCGCGAAGCCCTTACGAACCGCAGTATTCGCCGCACGTAACTAGGACAAGCGGGTGATGGCCAGTCACCGGGTGTCCTCCTAGCGGGGGGTGGTTGCTGAGTTTCAAAGCAAACCGCTCTCCCCCCCTCTTGCTCCCCCCTCCCCAGGACACCACGGGGTGGTACGAGCCGACAGGCTGGGCGCTGTGTGCGGGAGATACGCCACTCGGGCCCCGACATGAAAGGGTGCCGCGGAAGCTCGACCGCCTGCGTGGGCCTGGCCACCGTCATTCATCACTCCACGCCTTAATTGAGTTGGTAAGCGGCGCAGAATTGCAGCCAACTAATTAAGAAATAAAGACGACGCAATAACGTGGAGGTCTCCCCCCCCCCCCCCACCTCTTTTCAAACGATCCGTTGATTTTTAAGCGCGCATCTGTCCCGTTAGATCGCCGCCGCCGCCGTGAGTAATTCTGTGCCGTACATCGAGTGCCAGATCGAGTCGTGAATGTGCGTGTACAGCTGGAGTACCGGGCGTGCTCTGCGCTGTTCTCGAAGCAACTCTCGCTTCAAAAGCAGGTACGGACGAAATAAAACGCATGGGCGCACGCGTCCAGATTCTCGCCGCGTTCACTGCACGGATGCTTCAATAATTTATTTTTAAGAGGGCCCGATAAGAAAACGTTTTATTAAAAGAATAAACTAAACTATACAAGGGTTGTGTTTTTTTTATTTTTGCCAGGTCGGGCCCGCTAAGCTGTGTAGCTCTTTTTTTCAGAAGCGACCTGGCCACAAACGAGGCAACAACGAAGTGGCTCGTTGCGTGGAAATTTACAACGGCCAAACACTTTAAACGCACGTTTCTAAATGTGGAGGGGCAAAACGGAAGGATCCGGATAAAAATCCACGCGACCACGGGGAGAACACGCAAACTCCATATATCAATTATACAGGCGTCAGGGTCTGGATTGAACTCACGTCCTCCTGTTTGCCAGGCGAGGTAGTAAACATCTGACCAACGTGGCGCTCAAATTGATGCCCACTCCACCTGTGCCTCTGATGGCAAGCTGCGACATCCTGAGCCATCATGCGGCTCTTTAAGGACTGCTTCGTGACGACGTTAAACAAAAGGACCAACGTCTCGTTTTCACCACAGTGCATTGCGGCTCTTGAAATATTGACGTGTTTTTTTTCTCTTCCGAATTCGAACAAAATTGTCTATTCTTGTTATTTTGGTTTCCGATCCCTGGCCTAGGGCCTGCAGGCTTGGTCGCAGGACTCGGCCTAGAGGCCATCCGTTGCTTTGGCACCGTTCTTAGCCTTGAGCAGCTGGCGTTGAGTGGCCTCGATACTGACCTCGGTGTTTTTTGGGGCGGTGACGTGACCTAGCAGCAGCACGTATGCCGCGAGTCGCAGAGGTTCGCGGTTCGAGTCCGGCAAACCGCCCCGGTCAATCCTGCTCGGGTTTTGTTGTCCACCCTCGCTACTTTGCTACACCCTTCACGGTGGACGCTGAAGGAAGCCGTGACAAAAAACACGTTCGTGAAAAAATGAAGTCTCGAACCGCGATCCTCCGCAACGCGCTGCCAGTCGCAGATACTTCAACGTGAGAACCCCTTCATCACGTGACAACATGAACACCCCTTCATCACGTGACAACATGAACACCCCTTCATCACGTGATAACATGAACACTCCTTCATCACGTGACAACATGAACACTCCTTCATCACGTGACAACATGGACACTCCTTCATCACGTGACAACATGAACACTCCTTCATCACGTGACAACATGAACACTCCTTCATCACGTGACAACATGAACACGCCTTCATCACATGACAACATGAACACCCCTTCATCACGTGATAACATGAACACTCCTTCATCACGTGACAACATGAACACTCCTTCATCACGTGACAACATGGACACTCCTTCATCACGTGACAACATGAACACTCCTTCATCACGTGACAACATGAACACTCCTTCATCACGTGATAACATGAACACTCCTTCATCACGTGATAACATGAACACTCCTTCATCACGTGACAACATGAACACGCCTTCATCACATGACAACATGAACACTCCTTCATCACGTGACAACATGAACACCCCTTCATCACGTGACAACATGAACACCCCTTCATCACGTGACAACATGAACACCCCTTCATCACATGACAACATGAACACCCCTTCATCACGTGACAACATGAACACCCCTTCATCACGTGACAACATGAACACCCCTTCATCACATAACAACATGAACACCCCTTCATCACATGACAACTTGAACACTCATTAATCACGTGACAACATGAACACTCCTTCATCACGTGACAACATGAACACCCCTTCATCACGTGACAACATGAACACCCCTTCATCACGTGGCAACATGAACACTCCTTCATCACGTGACAACATGAACACTCCTTCATCACGTGACAACATGAACACCCCTTCATCACGTGACAACATGAACACTCCTTCATCACGTGACAACATGAACACCCCTTCATCACATGACAACATGAACACTCCTTCATCACGTGACAACATGAACACTCCTTCATCACATGACAACATGAACACCCCTCCATCGCGTGACAACATGAACACTCCTTCATCACATGACAACATGAACACCCCTTCATCACGTGACAACATGAACACCCCTTCATCACGTGACAACATGAACACCCATTCATCACGTGATAACATGAACACTCCTTCATCACATGACAACATGAACACCCCTTCATCACGTGAGAACATGAACACTCCTTCATCACGTGACAACATGAACACCCATTCATCACGTGACAACATGAACACTCCTTCATCACGTGACAACATGAACACCCCTTCATCACGTGACAACATGAACACCCCTCCATCACGTGACAACATGAACACCCCTTCATCACGTGACAACATGAACACCCCTTCATCACGTGACAACATGAACACTCCTTCATCACGTGACAACATGAACACCCCTTCATCACGTGATAACATGAACACCCCTTCATCACGTGACAACATGAACACTCCTTCATCACGTGACAATATGAACACCGCTTCATCACGTGACAACATGATGCGAATATCACAATCGGGGGGGGGGGGGGGTGATGGTAGGATGGGGAGATCATTTTCCTTTCTAAAACTGCTTTTCGCTTTGTCGACACGGACAACGATGTTGCCTTGGACGGCTTGTCACGGATCGTGCGACAGCGTCCCTGACCCCGCGTGACCCCCCACCCCCACCTGATTGCCGCTTTGCCCCACACGCCGAGCTCCCCTGATGGGCGCGCTTCTTCTTGCTGCGCAACGGCCGCGATCGCCGATAAATCTGCAGCTCCTACCGGCGAACAAAGATTACATTCATGAATTAAAACGCCCATCGCGCGACACGCGAGGATGATGCTGCTGCTGTTGCTGCTGTTGCTGCGTCAGTGAGGTCGCTTGCGCCACCTGCATTGTGCCTGTTTCTGCTGTACGAATATTCCAAATCATTCCCTCGTCGTTGCAGAAAGATGGCCCACTCAATGGGATGTGCCACGTATTTTATTTTCTGGGATGATGTCTCAAAATCGCACAGGAGGAAGAGTCCGTAATAGAGTTTTTTTGGGTTAGATCGCGTAAATATAAAAATGTGTCGTTAAATTCTGACACCTCCCGACACAGCCAACTAGTAAGGGTTGTCACGTAAACAGAGCCAACGCATATTATGCATTATGCGAGCTCTTTGAACTTGTCCTTCCTGCCTATTGTGTGTATTAAAATAGCCGTCCCAACGGTAATCCCTATTGAAGTAAACTACCCTTTGTAGGAATGCATTTGCATTATGTACCATTTAATGATTCGCTTCCACGCAGCACTAAGGCGGTAGCTATCCGAACGGTTAAAGTTTTTTTTTTATTTGTTTCAATTTCGATAGATTCTCTAATTAGTCTTGGCGAGTAGTAGCTAGTTTTGCACAGAACTTCAACATTATCAAAATTAATTGAGTGTCCTTGTTGGCAAGTGTGTTCTGCTACTGTTGACAGTTGTATTTGGGATAATTTAATATTTATTCTGATGTGTTTTGCGTCTCGTGCTGATCATTCGTCCTGTTTGACCAACATAACATTTACCACACATCCTGTACACACCTTATGTTAATAGCTTCGGTAAGACTGGAGACATGAACTGTTGATATCTTGGTTCTTTCGGTAAAGTCACGTAGAAGGGAAACAATAAAATAATATTATTTAATATTATTATTTAATAATATCACGAAAGCTTTAAATCAAAAAAGGAACTGTCTAGGTTGACATTCATGGACAATGACCAGGTCTCTCCAAAATGCGTTCTTTCAAGTTTGCGCCACGTGCTCTTGTTTGGCTCCCCTCGCTGTGGAGCTTCTTCATGAAACGAATTCGGTTCCTGAAGAAGCACGCGGAGCGAAACGTCATCGTCAACCTGAACCACGCGCATCGGGGGGCCCGCGTACAGCACAGCCGCGGAAAAAATAACTCCGTCGCGGTGGCCTTTCTTCAGATTATTCTTCCACTGTCAGCGAATCTGGCGCGTGCATCGCAGCATGCAAATCACTTTTCATTGTTCAATGCATTGTTGAGATTCGTGGCCTAGTTTCAAGTTTTAATTTTGTCCACATCTCGCAGAAGTCTGGCCGGTGAAACCAGAGCACAACAGGACGCAGCGAATTGTTTGACGTTCGCGTTTGAAGCCAATGGAGCCACGCTCAGGATGGTAATTCTCTACTGGAGCAAAAAATAAAATAATCTGGACGGACAAAAATAGAAAAATGGGCACGCAGTGGTTTTGTGAATGACCCTACAGGGTCCTCAACATAAACGGAATGGACGGACGATGCGGAAATGAGAGTGGGCCGTGGCAGGAGCTGAGTCATCAGGCTGCGCACAAAACCGGCTCTGGGGGACGGATCGCGATAACTACCATGGCCCCCGACCGACACCGACGTTGCTTTGTAATGAGCTCCGGGCGCTGGGACTCTCACAACCCCGACCGTCAGGAGTTGTCATTCTCATCACAATTTGGCCGAGTTAGAAATCTCTGTTATCAGTTTTCTCAAAAGCATTAGTGATTCATAATGATAAGTGTGCGCCTGCGTGCGCCTGTGTGTGTGTGGTAACAATGCCATTAAATGTTGCATGCGTACGGACCCCCGCCACGCCATCAAAACAATAACGCGTAATGGAGGGAGATTAAAAGTGATTTCCGTGGAAACGGCTGCGGGGGCCCTTGGGCTACGGAGGGGCTGCTGCCACGTTCCTCGCGAGGGTTGTGTGCGGGGGGGGGGCGCTCTCTCCGTCGGCGGATATTCGAGGCGTCGCGATGCCCGATGTGATAAAGCCTGGCGCGGGGCTGACGAGCCGCCGTTCGGCTCCAATCGCGAGGATTGGTCGTGACCGTTCTCCACGTTCGCACTGCGCCGCGTATCTCCAAGATCTGTAGTCGCCGCCACAGTAATCCTCTCCCGCTGTATACCCCCCCCCCCCACTAATCCACCCCACCCCGCCGCTGCTAAT